TTATAAATATTATGGTAAATTTAGATAAAAATTTTTAATAATGAAGATCAATTATAAAGTTAAAAATATTTGGTATGATAGGATAAGACTATGCTTTTCTATTTAAAGTAAAGAAAGTTGTATGTTTGAAGTATTAAAAATTTTAGAGTTTCATATAAGAAGAAAAGAACGAGACTTTATGAAAAATCATAAACTAATTGGCCCGTCGCACGAAAATCGAGATGCAGTATGCGAATCCTAACTACTCTTTCTTCTCTCCCTCTCTTTCTCTCTTATTATTTTTTATCTTCCCTCGCAATTTGGTAATTGTAAAACATTTTTGTGCATTTTATATAAAAAAGTGTTCTTAGGACATATATGTAATTATTCAATTTATTTGTTTTAAACTGTAAAGTTTATATAAAAACTTTTATATGTTGAAATCAAGAACTTAAAAAACTATGAAAAGTTGTCATAAGATAGGTTATCATGTTTAAGACATTCGTGAAAAGAATGTCAAACGAATCTAAAAATAAATGTATGCTTGCACACATACATTTCATAAGAAATTATCATTGTACAATTTATCTTATATTTTTATATTTATATTTATCATAAAATTTTGGAAAAAATATTGTCATTAAATTTTATCATTTTCTATATTTGGTGAAGACGGTTTGTAAATTGGGCTTACAAGAGAGTCATAAAAATTATTCAAAGTTTACAAATCAAAATTTTCTTTTATATATTTTTAGTATTTATTTTTTATTTATTTATCAATTATTTTGAAAATGATTTAAAGACAAAAATAGCATAAAAATACATCTTAATGGATATATTGAAACATCTATTAATAAAATACACACTTGAATATTATGCTTGATTTGCATATGTAAAAGCCTTGAATAATACATCATGTTTGAGGTGAGGGCCATCTTTCTCCTTTCATCCATCATCTTGCGAGCCCTCTTTCTTTGAGTGGTAGCAATCGGATTTTTTGCCTTTTGGCTGCCTTTGCTACCGTATGCTCTAGATTTTGAACTTCCAACATCTCCTTCTAATGTTGAGTGACATATGCTCAAGAGCTCTCATTCTTCCCATGCTTTATGTGTCACAAGGCCTGAGAGTCCTTGTGGGGCTTTTGGGTGCTAGTGAACTGCAATGTAAACAACTTCTTGAACACACTCAAGGTAGTAATAATTCATACTGGGAGCCCATTAAACCACATAAGGGCAGAATCCCTCAGTTTGGAATAGAACAACCAATTCTTCAATGCATCAGAGGCTTTAGGAAGGCATATAAATGACTCAAAGAATGTTATGTGGTCGGTAGGATCACTTCGACCCTTGTAGGGTTCCAAGGATGAAACTTTGAACTTCTCAGTTGGCTCATGATTGATGATTTTCCTGGATAATGTATTCTTCGCCCTCTGATACACTTCCATTCGCTCCTTTGTGATATGATCTTCGGTATGGACCCAACACTGTCTTGATACTGGGATTTTTACAATCATTCAGTCCCATGAGCCACATGGTGGCCTTGGGGTTCTGTTGCTTGAGAATTTGGTTCATGAGGAGCTTGTGCTCTCCCCTCAAGTACAGCACGGGTCAGTTTTCTCATTTATCTTACTATTTTGTTTTGGAGTTCATGAATTTATTGTTGCACAAATTCTCGAATGGACTACATGTTTAAAGTTTCTCTCAAGCTCTTTCTCCTCCTCTTTATGTTGACGGTGACTCCACGCTCACCATATCTTTTAGGATATTAAATCTAAAAATATCTTATGGATCACACCCAAGGAATAGAGCTTTGAATAGTTGAGAGGAATAGAGAAAGAGGGAGAGAGAGCGCGCGCGAGAGAAGAGAGAAATATAGTGCACAATAACACAATTTCTTAAATGATAAGTCTATTGGTATCTTCTTGAAGAAATGACCCGTCTATTCAAGGTTTATAAAACGAATCTAACAAGTTAAATATTCGTCCCTATTTTAATAAGAACGTTACAAATAATCAATACACCTTTTCATATTTGTAACTGACTTCGGGATCCATAAGGACATTGGCGTCATTCCATATTCATAACTGCTAAAACGAAAAGTATTTAATGACCTGTTGGTATTGTCATATGGTCTATTTAATGACCTGCTGCTATTGTCATATGGTCGTCTAGCAATTGTTCGGTTGATCAGAGTGTCTTCGGTTGGCTAAAGAAACTTCATTTGACTAAAGGGTTTTCAGTCGACTTCCTTGGGAGAATTCTAGATAGAGGTTCTCTTGTCGTTAGGGAGAACTCAGACCATCAGGTAGAGGGTGTATTATCTTAATATGACGTATAGCTCTCCTTAAACAAGGGGCCTTCTGAAAGGATTGGCAAAGATATTGTGGTGCCCTTTGGCCATCTCTGTGAAAAATCTCAGAATAATTCAAGGGAGCTAGTTGTAGCTGATCATCCCTTGAATCTGGTGCCTCATGCTCTTTCGTTCGATCGCCTCATGGTTCGACTGAAGGAAAGGATAGTTGTTGTCTCCATCTTTTGGCTCTCGATGCAGTCTTTTGGTGTCTACTCGGTGAGATCCGTTGAATCTTCTCAACATTTGTGTGGTCATAGTTTTGATGTACTATATATATACATATGAATTATCAGTTAATTAATTATTGAAATTTAAGTGGCAATAATTAGCCAATGAATTCTTGCGCCTTACATACAACTAGTTGAATTCTAGCAAAAAGTCCATTAGAAATACTTTTGTAAAAAAAATATAAAAAAATCTACCAGTATTTCGATATCACCTTGGAGTCCCTTCTATGATTTTTTACCATTTTAAAACTATTTCAACTAAGCAAGACCTTATGTTTTCTTTCCATGTACAAAATATGTCTCATGTTCAAGCATTTTTTTTATTATTTATTTGTATTTATGATATATTATATATTCAAGTAAATTAACACATAGATTTCAATATCTATATTATTGCAAATTTCCTTGCACATAATAATAATTATTATTATTATTATTATTATTATTATTATTATCCAACATTTTCAAAATCATTGTTTTGGCTCCAAATTTCGTATTTTTTTGCTACTTTTGTTCCAAATGCCTAAATTGATATACCTACAACAAAAACATGAAAATACCCTTATTTAAAGTACAATATCACCAAAAATAAGCATAAAATGTATACTTAAAACAACATATTATTTTGGTGTATTAATAATAATAATAATTATTATTATTATTATTATTATTATTATTATTATTATTATTATTATTATTATTATTATTATTATTATTATTATTATTATTATTATTATTATTATTATTATTATTATTATTATTATTATTATTATTATTATTATTATTATTATTATTATGTATCACAAATAATCATCACCTATATGACCCTTCGGAAAAGATTGTATTGCTTTTGCATATAATGAAATAGTTATGGAGTGTGTTCCTTCGAAGCTTGCTGCAAAATAGCATATTATCAAATCCTTAAAATTGGTTTGTTGCCTTTATACCCGAAATTCTCTCCTAACTCACTTAATTTGTCTCTTTCTCTAATCTTGTGATCAACTTAGGAGAAGAATTCATGTATTTTGCTCTTAATTTTATTTTTTTTTATTTTATTTTGTTTTATTTTATTTATATCTTAAGTAAGTTGAAATAAAATATGTTTAGTGATGATGATATTTTTTAAATACCCTAAACATCTAAATATTACTTTAAATAACTTTAAAAGTACTTTTCAAATTATATGTGCAAATCATATCCGTTCACTAGTCCTTGACTTCACTATTATTATTAGTTGATGAAGAAAATTTGAGCCGACTTAAAAAGGTTCTATGGGCATTTACAAACATACCACCCAATACTTGTGTACTTACATATCTAACTCTTAAACTCTTCCTTTTACATTTATACCACCCAAACCTTCTACATCAAATAAAAAAAATATCACTATTTAAATTTTTAAAAATATTTCATTTTTATTTATGAAAAGTTATATATACAGAGGAATTAAGTGGTATGTATGTAAGTCTTCCTATATGTTTATTCTTGCTTTGCTGGTGTGAAATCAATATTAGCGTGCTATATCTATTGGGCCACACCTCATTAAATTCATCATCAGCGTTTGATCTGTGAAGATAGTGAGAGGCTTCTTAACACCACGTGTCTAACAAAATCATTGAACACGAACTGCAAATTCTATCTTATCTTATCACTAAGCAAGCAACACCACAAAAACACAAACAAAACCAAAAACAAAAGAAAAAATCATGATTATTAAGGCCAACAAATGGTTATATGGTCCCAGAAAGCATTATTAACTTAATTTTCACTAATAATTACATCAAATTGGAAAATCTCATATTAGATATATATATATATATATATATATATATATATATAGATATATGTATGCCTCAAAATATCATGTTATGCCCCCAATCTCATTTTTCGGATAATTCATTTTAGGACATGCCAAATACGTGCATTTGAAATGTGACTGACGATTAGAAAATTAATAGCTATCAGCCAATAATAGAAGATTAACAGTGCAAAATCTCAACAGCTATCCGGAACTTTTACGACAAGGACAACCGATAGGAATTAAGTGCTGGCCATTTATGATTCGCATCCCAATTTATATCGCTGTTTGAGAAGTTCAATCTGTTCAGCGTAAATTTATTTATGTACCTTCACTTTATTTTCACCGTCCTAATGTTTTCCTTCTAGTTTTTAGATATTTATTTTATAAATTCATCTTATGATTGTATCTTCTACTTGTTTTTCACTAGATTTTATACAGTTATCACACATTGATTTATTTTTTTTAAATTTCTATTGTCCAATTTAGATTTAAAATTACTTGTTTATGCCCATTATTCAAATCCATACAATAGAACAGGTCAAAATAATAGTTCATTAAAATTTTATCATGCAACCTGCCATAAACAAAGATATTCTCATTCAAATTGAAATATAAATAAAATAAAAATTATAAATAATAAATAAAAGTGATCCCAAACAGCCCCTAAAGGGCTTTCTCCTGTAGAACATACATTCCTGTAGAACCTATCCGCAGAATGCCAGAAGACATCTAGAATCCTAAACTCTACTATTGTGTACAGTTTAGAACGCTCATCGCTCATCAGAATCAGTTAAATCAACTAACGAATCTAAATCTGGAGTGACAACCGCTTGCTTCCTAAGCTCACCAAGAACACAATAACGCCTTTCCTTCGCATTAACTGCCACAATCTCTTCTGCAAACTCTCTATCTGCCCCTGGGGAGACCTACAGCATATTTTTCGTTAAATGCTATAAAGTGGCATTTATTTATTGGGGCATGCTACTCAATGCCTAGGAATTTACACGTCTAACACCTAAATTTTACTTTTCATATTTTATACCACCAGACAACCATTTCACTTTTTAAAAGTGAAATTCATCTTTTCAGACATAGGTAAGGTGGTACGGATGTAAAAAAATGAAATGTTGGTGTTAGATATGTAAATACGTAGGAGTTGAGTGAAAATATGAATTTCACTTTTAAAAAAAGTGAAGTTCAACTTTTCAGACATAGGTAAGGTGGTTTGAATGTAAAAAATAAATAAATTTTAGGTGTTAGATATGCAAATGATCCTTTATTTATTTCACTCACATCAAAGAGAACATCCCCCAACTTCATTTTAACTTTTCCGCTCTTGTAAACCAGCAACTTCCCCATCAAACCAGCTGGAAGATCTTTCAACCTGCAGCAAGTCTTGCTCGATGCATCGGCCGCCTTGCTGCCCGGAGCTTTTTCTTCGTCGGGTGGTTTGAATAATGGAAGGCGAGTGGGAAATTGGAGCAAGATCATCTTCTGTTCATCGACGGTTTCCTATCAAGAAATTATCAAACCAGAGAGTAAAGAAGCTGTCAATGGTGGTGCTGGTTCAGATGCTGTATGGTGGCAGAAACAAACCATAAACCCCAACTTCTGCGCTGCATTAATTTTATTCTCATCTAAGGGCATGTGTGCCGTGCCTCCCTCGCCAAACTCCAATCTATTAAGAACCTCTATAGAGAAAGAATAAGAACAGGTTGGTTGAACAAATCTATGTTGATACGGGCTGTCATAAAATAGAGGGAAAATAGAATGGCACCTGGGTCTCCCGAGTAAGGTCTCCTCCAAGGAAGGGTATTAGGATAATATGTGTGTATGTAATCCTAAATTGGGATAATATAAGAAGAAAAAATATTATGCATCTTAGAGAGAGAGAGAGAGAGAGAGAGAGAGAGAAGAGAATTGCAAGATAGGATTTATCTTCTGAATTGCTCACATATGGCTCCACATACTCCTTGTGCTGGGAAGCAAGACAAACGTCTATTTTATAATTAGTAAAAAAAAGGAAAATGTTAGAAGGCAAAAAAAAAAAAAAACTGCAGTTATGCATCATGGTGAGGTATCTTTGGGGGGAGAACAAGACCTTCACTTTGGGTTTTTACTTTACGAGGTTCAAATGACCTTGTTTGTGTAGATGTGCTTGGGTATCCAAATGAAACATGGACCTGGGCAGCTGAAAGCACCAAAAAGAATAATTAAAAGTGCAATAGGATTAGAAAGGAGAGCAGATGAAGAATCTTTAGGGTAGCATCACAACTTTCATCATCCTGAATTTTAGAATGCAGTTTATATGATTTTAATTTTTAATTTTAATTAATTAAATTTATTTTTTTTTTTACTGAACACTGAATGGTTAATTATTGAATTTATTTTCTGAAAGTTATTTAGGTTGGCCTCTCAGTTTTCCATATGCCAATGAAAATCTTCCTTTCGACTGATAGTTATTGAAACTGGAACTGCAACAAAAGAAAAATCTGTAGATAGCAAATGGAGTCTTGAACTAATCCAATTTTATAATGCCCGTTAAAGAGGTGTATATACATCCCCTCTAATACAAAAACAGAATACTAATAATAATTCTTGGGAGTTTTTTCGATTGTTTTATTTGCTCGGTTTATTATTATAATATATGAGGATATTCTCCCTTATTATACATATTGCCCTTTTATTTTAACTTTAAGCATTGGGATCATTAGAAAAAATAAGCAACATATATACAACCTTTTTATAATTTTTGCTATGGTACCAAAGCCACAGCTTTAAGACGATTTTTGTCTGTTCTTTGGTGATGATCCAACTCTTTATCTTGTTTCAATGTATAATGATTCATCAGTCTCCTCTTTGATGATCTTACGTGGATCCCATAAGAACCTTGTGGAAATCCCATGAAGATCCTATCTTGGTGAGGAGTCCATCAACTCCCATGTCAACAGAGGTTGGCCCAACATCAACCTCTAGATTGCTATTAATTTTTTGAAGAATTCTCATTCTAGTATTGATCCGCTCGAATCAGTAATTTTAAAAAGCTGTTAAAACAACTCTTGGCTTGAACCACTCGATTCTTTTTATGCTACATAAACTCTCAATAGTTCACTACTTATTGAAACCTCCTGAGTTTATGAGAGGATGTTAGAGCTATTATAATAATGAGATTACCATAATAACATTATCACAACTATTTAATATTTATTGAGAATTCATAATATTTGTTATTATAATATGTCCTGATTACGGCGGACATCCAACTTTATTCATTCTTCTTATAGCTCCTTTCTCTTGATTTTATATAAGCAAGTTTGTAGTACCTCTTTTAAAATTCTCATCAGAATCACCACAAACAATTCACTTTAACACAACCGTACTTGATACCCGTAAATTATATATATATATATATATATAATATATATATATATATTTCTCAGCCTTATGTTCAATTGTGCATGACATTCTACTTGATTTTTCAAAATTCTCTAAATTAATATTATGATTTTAAATTTTACAAGAGAGCATTAATTTAGGAAAATAAAAAAAAAGTGTAATCAAGTATTAGAAGTTGTCCAAGCATGTTACCGCGGAAAAAGCATGATTTTAAGCATAAAGAGCTTGAACACCCAGCCTTGGGCCCTTGAACCTAGGCACCCGCTCAGAGAGGCCGTGACGGAGTTTCAGTCCTGCATTTTGCCCTAGTTTGGTAACGACTCTTAACTTATTTTGGAGCAGATTTCAAGACCCTTTAAGGGAGACTTTAAAGAAATTTTAAGGGGCTTTTTGTTTGTGTTTTGGGGGACTTTCTAGGGTTTTCTGAGCATTCATCCTCAGGAAAGTTGAAGGATAAAATTGAGAGGTACGAGGAACAAGAAAAAAATGTGAAAGACGAGGAGCGTAAGAAGAGCCTCTGCGGAACCAAGTTACTTGAACTGCTTTATTCTACTATTTATCATATATTTAATTTCATAAATTCGTAATTTCTCATTTTCTATCATAAATTAAATATCAAATCTATGGATTGATGTGACCAGATGCCATGGTAGAATTTGTTTTCAATTTTTCATTTGGAGTTTACAGTTTGCTTGATTATCACATATTTTATTTTGTGCTTCATGACGTATTAATTTTTTAGGAGGCAACAAACTCACATTAGATAAAATATCAGGGCGATGGATTGAAGGATAGAAACTCAATGCGTTTCTTTTTAAAAAACAAAGAGTGTCAATGTTTTTTTTTTATCTGAACTATCATTGGAAAATTAGTAAGTTCAATGGAGGTTAGATACTCAATTTTTGACATAATTTGTGATAACTCCACGTTCTATTGAAACCAATCTAATGAAAACATTTAAATGAAATCTAGTCCCTAAACCTCAACTTAATTGTTTTCCAATTTCTAGAATTTTTGCTTCTTAGTAATTAGTTTTTGTTATTTCTACTATAATGCAGTTTTTAGTTTAATGTACAGTTTTAACTGTCATTTCCTTTTCACCTATTTGAACAAGAATAAATCAATCTACTTCAGTAATTAGTATCTCAATCTCTATGAGACAACACTCTTCGTGACTCTCTGTTACTTTTTCAACTGTGTTCTATGGATAATTGCCATCTTAATGTGGTACACATTGTTCAATACACATATAGCACAACGTCAGTATTCAAGAGACAAAGTAAATATACAGTTATTAACAACGTCCTTTACTATGTCAACTGACATAGTAGGATAGTCAACCATGATGGCTTGTCGTTTTTTATCTCCAAATTCAATATTTCTATCATTTATTTTACATTTTTTTTCTTTCACAAATGGATCAAAATAGAAATCCTAATGTGACTTACCACCAGACATGCTTATTATAAAGATATAGAATCAGAACCAAGACATTGATTTTTATCGTAGACCTTGTATAGAATTCTGCATAGTAAGATCCCCAAACTCATAATAAAATAAGCTAGGATAAAAACACAACTTCACCTTAAGCTTCCAAAATATTGAGTACCAACAATTACCCCTAAAAAATTAAATCATAGATGCAAATAAAAATAGGATTTATGATAAAATCATAATACTGCATATGAAGCATACATCTTTGCAAGCAAATGCGATTAACATTAGACATATCTAGACCTAACAGTAAAGCATCATAATTATTTTCCACTGCTTTGAGTCAACAACAAAAATAAAATTGATCAATCCCCCTTGAAAAAAACCAAATAAATACTTTCATAGATAGCTCATGCAAGCTGCAAGCACATTGTTCACACAGTTTCTTGCATGTACCAGCAAAACAAAAAAGATGAATACAAAATTGAAAAGTGGAGTCAACTTTTGTAGCAAGAAAGTATTCCATTTCTAAAATAAAGAAAAGCTAAACTATCAAGAAGTCGGCTGGAGACAAAAAGAGGGATGAATATTGAGATGGTATGACAGGGATAATATATTTGAGATCCCATGGGCAATGGAGGAAATAGATAGTATCCTTAATCACAATCCACAACATTTTCAGTTACCAGATTTAAGGAAAAAAATTGAAATTAACAATGATATTGCCGGGTCCCAAGCCCCCGATGCGAAAAGTGGAGGGTTGTGTAAGGTAGTCGATAACCAGTGCAAAACTTTTGTCAAAAAATAATGACATGAATCTTTTAAATCCTTGTAAATGTTAGAACATCCCCTAGCAGTGTCGTGCTACATGACTTGAATACAGTGAAGAGTGTGAAAGAGCTACCACACCTGCGCCCTGCTGTAGCATCAAATAAAGGTTCCAACATTATAAGCGGATGCAGACAAAGAAGTTAGTCCATGAAAGTAATATTAGAATAAGATCTTAAATTAATGAAATTAATGTATATTATTCAAAAAACTAAATGGATTGGAGAAAAGGCTAAGGAGATTGATAGCCTAGATTTTAAACTTTAGAATTTAGATAGAAGTTGCATTAAAAATTGTGTAAGTGTAATTATATATAAGAGTTTGAAAGACAGTTGTAAAAATTAATACAATTGAAGATAGAATAATAGTTCTAATGATTATTGTTGATACTTAAATTTTGAATGTTATAAGTGTTTATACTCCTCAAGTAGATTTAGATATAGGTTCAAATGAAAAATTTTGGAATCACCTAGAAGAATTAATACAAATGATATCCCTTGAAGAAGGAATTTTTATTGTGGGATATTTAAATAGACATGTTGATAGAGTGGTAGAAGATTTTAGAAATATTCTGGCAGCTACGATTTTAGAGTGATTAATGAAGAATAAATAATCATATTAAATTTTGTTTTAGCGTATGATTTTGTTATTGTTAATATTTTATTTAAAAAAAGAAATGAATAAATTATTACTTATAAGAATGAATCTAATAAAACACAAATTGAATAATATCTTATGAAAAAAAAATATCATCAAGAGTATAAAGATTGTAAGATCATTCCAAGTGAAAATTTAAGTACTCAACATCGATTATTAGTTATGGATTTTAAAACGAGTTGTAAGATATGAAACACTGTCATAGAATTAGATTGAGACACCTAAAAGACACAAATAAAAGTATTTTATGAGTAAATTTCAAGATTTTAAGATTTGGGATGTTCATGAAGAAGTTGATTCTTATGAGAAAAAGCCACAAGCACTATTAACTAAGTAGTAAAAGTTGTACTTGGAGAATCAAACGAAAAAAATTTTATAAATCAAACTAGTGGTGGAATAATAATGTGCAAGAATAGATAAAATATAAAATGTTGTGTTATAAAAATTGGTTTAAATGTAAGGGTTTAGAGAACTGGGAAAAGAGAAAATTTTGTAACGTTAAAAATTCTGCATTTAGTGATTTTTATAATAGATTAAATATTAAAAATGGTGAAAATATATGTACAAACTAGCAAACAAAGAGAGAAGAAAAATAAAAATTTAATTCAAGTAAAGTGTATTAAAGATGAAAAATCAAAAAAGTATTTTTCTTAGAAGAAGATATTCGGTATAGATGGGTGAGATATTTTGATGAATTATTCATTGAAGTTTCTAAAAATATAATCGACTTTAGTGATTTTAATATCATTAATAATAATAAATCATTTAATTTTATCGTCGCATTAGTAAAAAAAATTGAGAAGGCTTTAAAGAAAACCAAGGGTAGAAACCCAGTGGGACTTGATGAATATCACAATTAAAGTATGGAAATATTTA